CCGTTAGGCCCACTAAGGCCCGGGCCCGGGACAAAATACAGCATTATAATGGAGAATGAAGCAACATGAGAAGGTTTGTGCTTTTGTTTACTCAGCCTGTGGTTTTCTGTTTCTTCGCAGTAAAATTAAAGCAATGAAATGCTACGCTACTTGATTGGCCTTCCCCTTCAACCAGCCAGCGTCTATAGGGGCTAGAAGCCCGAATACGGGTTTGGCCGAGGCAGTAACTTTTGCTTAAATAGTGTGTTTCTGTTTACCTTCTGTTTTTGGCAGTAAAATAAAGCAATGAAACGCAACACTACTTGATTCCCTTACCCCATTCAACCAACAAAGCTTCCACAGTCCTTTTCGATAAAATTTCTTGCTGACATCTGTTCGCTTTTTTAAGCGTCTATTCTTGTGTAAATTACGGAAGGTACCTTGGAGCAATGGTAAAGTTGTCTCCGTATGACCTATAGGTCACGGGTTCGAGTCGTGGAATCAGCGACTAATGCTTGCATTAAGGTAGACTGTCTATCACGCCCCTTTGGGTGTGGCCCTTCCTCGGACCTTGCATGAACACGGGGTTGCCCTTTTTCTTGTGTGAGTTACGGCTTGAAGAAAGTAGAAAAGTTTTCAATTTCTTTTGATCCCATTTGTCACTGAAATCTCAGACAAAATTTGATTCGCTTTATTTGAGTCATATAGTGGCAATGGTGTTGCTTTCTAACTGAATCCGTGACTGGAAACTCTTCTCAGGTACTTGAAGATGGTGTTCTTGATCCAGAGACAACTGTTGTTTCTATATTCCCATCTCCTATGCACTACGCTGGTCCAACCGAGGTGCAATGGCACGCAAAGGCTCGGATCAATGCAGGTGCTAACTTCTATATCGTGGGACGAGATCCAGCTGGTATGGGTCATCCATTAGAGAAGAGAGATCTGTATGACGCAGATCATGGCAAGAAGGTGCTCAGTATGGCCCCGGGACTAGAACGGCTGAATATCTTGCCTTTTAGGGTACGGCAACAATTAACCGTGATTAAAAAGCAACGCGTCTTTCATTTTTATTTTCGAACTTTAACGTGAATACTAAATTTTCGTGTAGGTGGCTGCGTACGACAAGACTCAGAATAAAATGGTTTTCTTTGATCCCTCTAGGCCTCAAGATTTTATCTTCATTTCAGGCACCAAGGTATATCTATCTCTCTGTTGGCTTTCAGCATTCTACCCCATTCCACTCCCCGTGCTAGATCAATTATTGTGCTGAATTCAGAGGGGGAAACAGCCTCTCTACCTTCCCGTAATGTCAACATACACACTACCCTCCCTATACCTCATTTATGGGACTTCACCCAGTTGTAATTCAGAGGCCGATGCTGCATAGGAGTATCAGGTTCAGATAATCAGAACCCAATTCTTTCAACGCGGAACATAAATTTATATAAAAATTACTACTAAAATTACAATAAATAGTAGATAGGAACCCAACTACAACAACAACTACTATGCTTCAGTCCCAAACAAAGAATTTAAATCCATAACCTTAAAACTACAATAGGTTCAGTACTAAGAACCTTAAAGGTTGAACTCATAGAGTTTAAATCCTGAATTCGCCTCAGGTGCTGCTGTTCGCCAGTTTTCAGCCCGGTTCGGCCCGGTTGACCCGTTTTCAGCCCGGCAATGTAGTATATAGGGCGGGCTGGGACTGGTTGGACGGGGAGCGGGTTTTAGACGAACACATTTTGGATACCGGTGCACCGGAACCCGCTTCAGCCCGTTAACAGGTTAAAATTTTTATTTTTTTTAATTTGTGTACCGTTGCTAACAAAATTTAATTAAAAAAAATATTAGCAAAGCCCGCCCGAGCCTGTTAAACCTGAACCCGGACGGGCCCACAAAAACCCGCAAATTCACAACCCGCTAACCAACCCGGTCCGTTAACGAACAAGTTGGGTTTTTTTTGTTCAGCCCGTCCTAGCCCGCCCGTTAAATACCTCTAGTCAATATTGCGCAATTAATGTGTTCTTGTCTATTGCAGATGCGAGCGCTTGCAAAGAACAAGGAGAGTCCTCCAGATGGATTTATGTGTCCTGGTGGTTGGAAGGTTTTGGTGGAATACTATGATAGTTTGGCTTCAACTGAAAATGGCAGAATTCCTCAACCTGTGCCTGTTTGAATGTTTCATTTATTTAGATTTTAGAAAGTGAATTACTCTCTTTATGTGGTGTCTGAACATTTGTTCAACATTACTCTCCAAAACAACAACAACAACAACAACAACAACCCAGTATAATCCCACTAGTGGGGTCTGGGGAGGGTAGTGTGTACGCAGACCTTACCCCTACCCTGGGGTAGAGAGGCTGTTTCCAAATAGACCCTCGGCATCCTTCCCTCCAAGAACTCCCCACCTTTCTCTTGGGGTGACTCGAACTCACAACCTCTTGGTTGGAAGTGGAGGTTGCTTACCATCAGAACAACCCCTCTTGTCTTAATAAGGTATAGGCTGATGAACCAGTGTTTCCATCTTGTAAATTATAGTGCTAAATTTATGCACACATCTGTGTGCACACTTATATTATAGTTACTGCTTTCATTGAAAATGAGTTTCATATTTTCTAGTGGAATTGGACTATGTAGTATGGAAGTTGGAGAATTGCTTTCCATTCTTTTGATAGGTTAAAGCAAACCTAAGCCCATTTATTTTCGCTCAATGGAGGTTTGATTCTGAATCATTTAGATCTTAGCCTATTTAGCGCATTTGTATTTTCTTTTTTTACTTTCGCCGTAACTTATTAGCTCTTAATTTACGTGAATCATGTAGAACTTGTACAGATTTTGAAATTACATAGGCGTTCAACAACAACAACACAGATTCAGTATAATCACACAAGTGGTGTATGGGGAAAAAAGTGTGTAAGAAGACTTTATCCCTACCTTCAAGAAGACATATAGATTGTTTTCCAGTAGACCCTCGACTTTGGTAAATATAACATTTTACAACTATTCCAATCGTTACTACTACCGCCAACCATCACAACGTAGAAACCTCAGCCAACCACCTCCACCACTAGTCACATCCATAAATTACCACTATGAAATACCTCAAAGAAGCAATTATAGGTCTATATTTTGGACTTCAAAGTGCAGAAATGGTAAATGCTTGCGCAGATATTGTCATAAAGGACAATCATTTTCCTACCATTGTTGATATCCTAAGGTGGGAAAGAGAAATTTACATTTAGCTCTTTTTGCTCTCATTGTAAAGCCACCTACGTAGAAAGGGAGCTTTGAAACAACGGTAAAATTGTCTCTGTGTGACCTATAAATCACGGGAGCAACATACAAGTGAATTCTCATAATCGTAGAATATGTAAATCTTCAAGTAGTGGTCTAAGCCACCATATCCCTTCCGGGATCCGCCTATACATAACAGGCCATAACACTAGAATACTTCCGAATAAAATCAATTACGGCGGCCGACAAGCCTCACACGTACCGTCATAAATCACTTGCATAACTTAATCACGCTGAAGGAACTAATCATTGCCACCATCATACCAATTTAATCATGGTTAACCAAATCTACTTCTTCTAACTTATCCTCAATTGTCTTAGAAATAATAATAACTCCATTCAACACATAACAAACTCAATCCGTACTCATCCCGAGTGGCCTTGTAACACGAGACTATGCTGTTTCAAATCCCACGAATCACCTCATACCTTCCTTGTGCGCATATTCGCATCTCAACTGGTACATCCATTCTGATAATTCCTCTACGAATCAGGAGCCACTGATACTTGCATCAGGGGTAGGTTGCCTACGTCACACCCTCTTGGGGCGCGACCCTTCCCCGGACCCTGCATGACTGCAGTATGGTTTGTGCGTGCTGCCCTTTTTATTGTAAAGCCACTTGGTGAAGAGCTAATGTACAAGTCAGGAGAGCACCTTTTGTGAAGAAACAATACCTTAGCAATTTGAATTGGCAAAATTTGAAGCCAAAAACAGAGTAATGAAATGCTATTTGATTTGATTTTCAGTTCGTATTTTCTACTTAAATCTATAGTTATATTCCCTTTGCTTATGCATGTTACAAGTTTGTATATTAAACCAAGACTTTTGCTACATTATTCTTTGTATATTACACTGATTATATGATATAACACAAGAATATGATATAGTATATTTGTCTCTTACCACCAAAGGATGTGCTCTAGCGTATGGGCTGCCCTTTTCTCAGTGGCGGAGCCACATTCAACCAAGTAGAATCAGTTGATGCTCTTTCGCCGAAAAATTACATTGTATTGCAAGATAAATTTTTCTGTTTTATGTATATTTAATATATGTTGGCTACCCTTAACGATATATCTAATTTTTTATATTTTGACACCCTTTGGTGAAAATTCTAGCTCCGTCACTGCCTTTCCATAACCAGAGGTCTCAGATTCGAGCACTGGGTATGAAAAAATCCTTGATACGGAGCGTTACCTCCCGAATAGGGCCCTACGCGGCGCGAATTCGGATATAGTCGGGCTCCAATGAGGCTACCGGACACCAAGTGAGAACCCAAAAACAATAGCATTTGTCTTTTTTATAATTCTCGCATTTACTTTATGATTTTTGTTCTCTTTCGCTTTTCTGTGCCCCTTTTTCAATTACAATTATCAATTAAATATTTCTTAGTTAATTACTTCCTCTGTTCCAGTTTATGTGAACCTATTTTCTTTTTGGTCTGTTCCAAAAAGAATGACCATTTTCTAAATTTGGTAGTAATTTAGCTTAAATTTACAATTCTAACCTTACTGAAAAGCTTTATAACCACACAAATACTCTAGGCCCCTTTCTGAATTGTTTAGCACCACAAATTCGAAAAGTTTTCATTTTTTTCTTAAACTCCGTGTCCAGTCAAACAAGTTCACATAAATTAAAACGGAGGGAGTATAATTATTCGAAAAATTAGATTTCATTTGACTCGTTTCGGGAGATGAAATGGTCAACATAAATTATTTCTTTGTTCAGTTCTTTTCTTTGTCAGGAGTGGGAAGGAAAATATTTTGTAGTCAAAAGACACACACACACACACAAGAGTCAAGTATGGAGAACTTTTCAAATGAACCAAAAACCTACATGAATTTTTTTCGTGTGTGATAATTTAGTAACTGAAACCACTAACTCGACTAATTTAGATTCGCGCTTCGAAAGACTTATTTAAGGAGAAAGCACTACTATCAAAAAAAAATCATTCATACAGTTCGAACTCGAGATTTCTGATCAAGAATGAGTCAAAAAGCCTACACAATTTTTTTTTGTGCAACTACCTGATATCCTGGACCACTAATTGACTAATTCGGATTGGAGTGCACAAGGCCAATTGGAGAAGGAAGCACTCCTATAAAAGATCATTTACAAAATTCTAACTCGAGACGTCTAATTAACAATGAAGAAATCACATTCATCCCACCATATCCTAGACGAGTAGGAAAGGAAGGTATTTAAATTTTATAGTCAAGAGACATACCCATACATGCATACACCACTCAAACATGAAAGAACTTTTCAGACACACATACACAACAGTCAAGTATGGAAAAACTTTTCAAATGAATACCTACATGAAATTTTGCGTGTGTAAATATGGTATCTGATTAATTTAGATTCGCGTTTCGCATGACTTATTTAAGGGAAAGCGCTTTTATTGGGAAAAAAATCACCCTTAAAGTTCGAACTCGACATCTTTAATTAAGGATGAATCAATAAGCCTACATGAAATTTATCTGTATAACTACCTGATATAGGAACCACTAACTCGACTAATTCAGATTAGTGTCTCGCAGGACCTAATTAAGGGATCAAAAGTGCTCCTATGGGAGATTTTTTCATTTTTAGTGTTCGAGCACAGACCTATGATTAGGGATGTTCATAAAAATCCGAAAATCCATACCAAACCGAAAATCAAATCAAACTGATCAAAAAAACCGATACTTTTTGGTTTGGTTTAGTTTTGGTTTTGAAATTTAAAAACCGATCAAATTTGGTTTGATTTTGGTTTTAATAAAAAAAAACCGAACCAAATCGAATATAGGAGTAGCTATTTTAAATTTATTATTACACCTATATATATGTATACTTTTATACAAAGTTTCAAAAATTTTATAGTAAATGTTAATCGTTTGCACTTTTAGTACATGTCTTTACCTTTACATTCTAATTTGATTGGTAGTTTTCTTTTGTTAAGTGTAAGAATCTATTTCATGTTAAAAATAATATATTTTTAATTGAGTCCTTAAATTATTCATCACTATTTGATTCAATTATCATCAATATATCTTGGTAAATAATAGATTTCTCAAAGGCTGTTACGTTGAAAATGTGGTCGCCGAAATATGTGTTTGGTAGTGTATGTCTTATATTTAAGAAAAAATTGACAAATAACCGAAAAAACCGAAAATCGACATAAACCGAATAAAAAAAAATCGACTTAATTGGTTTGGTTTGGTTCTAATATTTAAAAAACTAACTTACGTGATTTGGTTTCTTTTTAGGAGAAAACCGATTCAAACCGAATCATAAACACTTCTACCTATGATTAAGGGTGAAAGAATCACATTCGTCTCATCACATCCTCGAGGAGTGAGCAGAAAAGTATTTAATTTTGTAGTCAAAAGAAATTCGTGGAGTTGTTGAAGCTTGAAAGAAGTAATTAACCTTAAGTAAGAAGTAAATGACTCGACTCATTGCTCATTAGCTTACTCCAAAAGAGAAGATTAATATGTTTGTAAAATCAATTTATTTTATTAAAAATTACACCAGATGGATCTTTCTTAATTTTTTTTGGTAAAATACTCGCGCTACCAGAATTTTGAAGCTGTTGTCAGAATTTTCTCATATGAAAAATTATGACGATTGCAATTTTTTTGTGGCAAATCTTAGTAATCACCATATAAAAATTTCTGGCGATTGTCATATTTTTAGCAAATCATGATGATTACCATATGATAATTTCTGACGGCTGCCATATTTTTGCAATTTCTGGTGATTACTATATAAAAATTTCTGACGATTGTCATGTTTTGTGGAAAATTCTGATAATCACCATATGAAAAATTCTAACAATTGCCATATTTTTGTAGCATCCTGATAATTTTCATGTATAAAATTATGACGATTGCTAGTAAACTAGTTAACGTGCATTAGTGAAATTAATTGACGACTAATTGATAGTTATATAAAATAAAAAATAAGTCATAACCTACTCAAAGAAAGTGGGTTTGCTAACTCTACTTTTTTTCTTTTCTTTTTTATAAATTATATGTTAGTATTATAGTTTTGTCATATGTAATATTGTCGTAGAATACACTATAAGTTCTGTAATAAACATAACATATTTGATTTTTTATTTCTTAATTTTTTTAAAAATATTTTTTCGTCCTTACTTGTACTTCTCCTGTTCTCCATAGATTTATTAACAATAAAGTACACACGAGTATTATGTCTTTGTGGTAATTTTAAAAAATTAACTCAAAAAGGGAGAAAGGAAAGAACTTATGGTTATGAGTTATTGACTTGTTCTGAGAAAAACTAAGGTCAAAAATTTAAATCAATTAAACTCATTGCCACCAGATTTCAGGGATGTGAAGAAGTAAATGCTTTTAATTGGTTTGACTAAAAGTCTAAAACAAATACAAAGTCTTTTTTTTTTCTTTTTCAAATCACAAGTCAATTATTGCTATTACTAATATATTATTTTTGCTAAAATTAAGTTTATTATTACTATTATAATACATTTTTTAATTTCTCATTTGGTATGTGTATCCATTTTGGGGACCGATTAATTCAGATTTTTACAGAAATATCTCTCTTCAGAGGATAAACCACTGCTTATCAAAGGCAATTTCATACCCATGGATCAAATCTAAGACATCTTATTAAGGATATATGAATATTTACTACGCCACCGCAATAGCGGTTATTATAATATTATTATTGGTGCTATTGTTTTCATTGTTTATATTCTTTCCATCTTGAAGATAATTTTTATACAACTAGTGGAAGGGTCAAATTAATTATTCGAGTTGTATGGATACACATGTTAATTTAATTAGTTCTGAAAGCAAGATTTATATATAAAAAAATCACAGATGAGAAAAGGATTAAAGTAAAACATAAAAGGGTAAAAAGAAAAGTAAGTTCTTTTTTAACTCTTAATTTATAATGTGTGAATTAAACATGAAAAAGAACAAATTATTACAGACTATTATTTGTAAGATGAAATTATTATAGTGTAACGACCCGACCAGTCGTTTTGAGCATTTGCACTTCGCTCGTCAGTTCTCGGGCATGACTAGCCCCGTATGGTGTATTATGACTTATGCGAATCGTCGGTTTTAGTTTCAGGTTTATTCGGAATTGATTTGAAAGAATGATTCTCAGCTTGAAGCTTTAAATTTGAAAGATTTGACCAAGTTTTGACTATTTAGTGTTTGACCTCGGATTGGATTTTTGATGGTTCCGTTAGCTCCGCTGGGTGATTTTGGACTTAGGAGCGCGTTCGAATTGTGATTTGGAGGTCCGTAGTAGAATTTGGCTTGAAATAGCGAAAATTGAAATTTTGGAAAGTTTGACCATGAGTGGACTTTTTGATATCGGGGTCGGATTCCGATTCCGGAAGCTGGAGCAGGTTCGTAATGTCAAATATGACTTGTGTGCAAAATTTGAGGTCAATCGTACGTGATTTGATATGTTTCAGCATTGATTGTGGAAGTTAAAATTTCAAAGTTTAATGATTTCGAATTTGAGGTGTGATTCGTTGTTTCGACGTTGTTATGTGTATTTTGAGGTCTCGAGTAGGTCCATGTTATGTTATGAGACATGTCGGTATGTTTGGACGGGGTTCCGAGGGGCTCAGACGTGTTTTGAATTGATTTCGGACTATATGTCTCTATGATTTCAGTGCTGGTGTGATACTGTTATCTGGTGTCGCTTCTCTTCATCGCGATCGCGGAGAGAAGAACGCGATCGCGTAAGGGATAGATCTGAGGCTGCTCGTTTCTTCTTGGCATTCGCGAACATGGGTCCGCATTCGCATAGGGTGTGGCAGATGGAGCATCGCGTTCGCGTTGGTGAGAATGCGTTCGCGTAGTGTTGGATCTGAGCTGAGGCAGCATGGTTATCTCTTCGCGTTCGCGAGGTCAGTTCCGCGAATGCGTAGTTCTGTCGGCGGTGTTTAACACGATCGCGAATGGTATTATGCGATCACATAGAGTTATTCAGAAGCATCTTTTTCTTCCTCTTCGCGATCACGATGGTACTTCCGCGATCACACTTAAGGTGTATCTAAGCAGATTTAAAAGATTCAAAACGAGGGTTTCGAGTTCATTACATAAAATGGAAGTGGGAGCTCGGTAGAATGCGATTTTTGAAGGGATTTTCAGAGAAGTGATTGGGGCAAGTGTTCTTTCTTTAATTTTGATTAAATTCCATGATTGTATCTTGATTTTTATCATCTAAATTGAAAATTTGGGGTGAAAATTGGGAAAAGAATGGAAGAGAATTGGAGAGATGATTTTGGGGATTTGAATGGGCATTTGATGTCGGATTTTGATGAAATTAGTATGGGTAGATCCGTGAGTGAATGGGCTTTTTAGTTTTGTGACTTTTATTGGATTTTGAGACGTGGGCCCGGGACCGAGATTGAGCCGATTTCAGATTTTGATTATAATTTAGTATTTTTCTTGTGGAATTGGTTCCTTTAGTCTATATTGATCGTATTTTGTTGCTTGTGGCAAGATTCGGGTCGATTGAAGGCTGATTTGATGGGCAAATGCATCGCGGAGTGGAGATTTGATCGGTTTTAGGTAAGTAACGATTGTAAATCTAGTCCTGAGAGTATGAAACCCTGGATTTTGTATCGTTTTTCAATTTTGAGGTGACACACATGCTAGATGACGGGCGTGTGGGCGTGCACTGTTGGGGATTGCGACTTGGTCCGTCCCGTAGCAACTATACGTTACGTATTTGGTTGAAACTATATAATACTAATGTGTTTTAGAAAGAATTTCTGTAAATTGGGCTGAATGCCATATTTGGGCTTTGTGCCAGAGCTGTTTGGACCCTTAGAGGCCTTTTGTTATTATCCTCTCACTGTTTTGGTTGAAAATCTATACTCAGTCATGTTATACTTATTGATTTCATAACTTAGTCTTTATTACTCTGTTTTGATGTATATAAAAATGTTGTTTTTGGCTGAGTACCCTGTTTTTACTAATAGCTCGAGTGGCTTGAGAGGTTTATGACTGAGTGAGGCCGAGGGCTTGATTTGTGAGGATATTTATGGGATCGGGCTGCATGCCGCAACATGTTATACTGATTCATAATTGAGTGAGGCCGAGGACCTGATTGATTTATGTCGTGAGGGGGCTTGTTATAGCGCTTGGGCTGAAGGAGCCCCTCCGGAGTCTGCACACCCCCAGTGAGCGCGGGTACCCTGATTCTGAGTGACTGTGAGGTTTGCCCGAGGAGCTGTATATGAGTGATGGTGAGGTTTTCCCAAGGACCCTTTATGATTCATGTTTGCCCGAGGAGCTGTATACGAGTGATGTTTGCCCAAGGGGATGTTTATGATTTCATCATTTCGCTCACCGTTGCATTAAGCCTTTGTTTTGAAAACTGTTGAAAAAGACTTTAAAAGAATTTTACTGAAACTGGATTTATATAAACTGATTTGATTCAAACTCTGTTTTTATAAGCCTGTTGAGTTTTACTGAGATTTTATGATATGAACTTTATATGCTTTATTGCTCGACACTACTGCTCAACCTTTATTAACTTTTGTTACTTACTGAGTTGGCGTACTCACGTTACTCCCTGCACCTTGTGTGCAGACCCAAGTATTTCTGGACCCGGTAGCAGTTGTTGATTACTCAGTGGCAGATCCATTGGAGTTAGCAAGATAGTTGTTTGGCGATCACAACCCTGCTTTTCTCCCTCTTTATCCTCCCTTAGTTGTATTCAGTTATTTCCAGGTTATGTTAGTCTTGATGTTGTCAGACGGTTATAGTAGATGCTCATGACTAGTGACACCCGATGTTGGGCTTTCTTTCCGCACTTTTGTTTTGATTTAAACTCCTTAGGAAGGTTTATTGTTAAATAGCTTTGGTTTTATCTTAAAAATGAAAATATCGTTTAGTTTTGGTAATGCGTCGACTTGCCTAGTACCACGATAGACGCCATCACGACAAGGTTGGTTTTTGGGTTGTGACATATAGACTATTATTTCCACTGATAATTAGTTCACTAAGTAGACTAATAACAAACTTAAGTGAATACAATATACTCTCTTATTTTTAATTTATGTGATATTATTTTCTGATTAATCTATCATGTTCTATAAATAAAAATAATTTAGCTTTAAACTTCTCATTTCGCTTTTAATGTGAAGCTTTTATTATCGAAACAAGTGTTATAACGTTTTTCAGACTGCACTTTTTAAAAGTTTTTCTTCTTTTTTAAACTTCAAGTCAGGTCGAACTACGTCACATAAATTGAAACAGACAGAGTACTTATTTTTGTATATTATAAAGAATAAAATAAGAGGTCGTTTAATCATAGACGGAGTCGTGATTCGAAATTTACAGGTTTGGATTCTAGTTCTTTTAAATTATCGAATTTTAAATTAATAATTTATATATATTTAATAATTTTTTTAAAATAAATACATGATTTGATGTTTTGAACCAAAGCTACTACGTTCGATCAAACTCGTAACCTAAACTCCAGTTCCACCCCTGCATTTGATTAAATTTTTCTAGAATCCAATAATTATCAAATAATCCTACAATTAATTCATTGACTGTAACGCAGAAATAGATAATAGCTAAAATAATACAAATAATAAAATAACACTAATTAAGTAGTAAATAGATAATAGCTAAAATAATACAAATAATAAAATAACACTAATTAATAAAATAACACTAATAAATATTTTTTTTATCATCAAGCTTCTATCCAACGGTCATCATTTTAACAAAATCATCAAAGTTGACTTGACCATCTCCATCCAAATCTGCTTCTCTAATCATCTGCTCTGCCTCTTCATCTGTTAGTTTTTCCCCTAGGTTAATCATCACGTGCCTCAGCTGCACAGAATCATAAACATATTTAACGAATTTAAATTATATATACTAATTGTTTATGGAATATTTTTGCACTATGAATTTTAATATGTGATTGTATATTAATTATCATTTTTATTAGGTTATCAATTAATATTTATTAACAAAATTATCTGTAGTTACCTTATCCTCTCTGCCCCTCGGGTAGAGGTAAGGTCTGCGTACATATTACCCTCCCCAGACCTCACTTGTGGGATTACACTGGGTTGTTGTTGTTGTTGTTGTTGTATCTGTAGTTACCTTATAAGTAACTTGATTATGTAAATATTTTTTAGTCATTAGTGTAGAAAGTATTTTAATTTTCCAACCATCCTAGTTTTCTATCCAAAAAATTGACGTTAAATTAGATTAGATCAACTTAAAATTTAATAATAAAATTTAAATATTTAAAAATTATATGAAATGTACTACAAATTGTATTTATTTTCATGTCAATAAAATAAAAAATATATTTTAAAATATTAATCAAAGTTCATATAATTTGACTCTCGAGAAGTGAGACATGACAACTAATTTAGGACGGGAGGAGTAATAAATAATTAAAAGTCAAAAGGAGCAAGTGCATTGTTCAGTGTGAACTGTGGAAAAATTCATTGCACGACAGATTGATTTCACAGAGATAACATAATAATTATCTAGGATTTGATTATTTGAAACATAACAACTGTAAATATAAGAATATTTTATGTTAATGACAGATAAAATTAACATGTGAACCCCTCACCTTCTCCTTAACTAGTTTAACTCCTTTGCACTAAGCCTTTAGCTATTATTTTATGATAAGAAATATTGTTTTAATATTTAGTTACAATTTGTTATTTGTAAATATTCCTTAGACAAGAGGGGTTGCTCTGATGGTAAGCAATCTCCGCTTCCAACCAAGAGGTTGTGAGTTCGAGTTTCCCCAAGAGCAAGGTGAGAAGTTCTTGGAGGGAAGGATGTCGGGGGTCTATTTGGAAACAGCCTTTCTACCTCAGGGTAGGGGTAAGGTCTGCGTACACACTACCCTCCCCAGACTTCTACCTCAGGGTAGGGGTAAGGTCTGCGTACACACTACCCTCCCCAGACCCTACTAAGTGGGATTATACTGGATTGTTGTTGTTGTGTTGTTGTTGTAAATATTCCTTTGATTAAAAAAACATTTTTATCTTTTTGACTGGTCTTCAAGAACATTATGAGTACATACCGTACATGATTGACTACACAAAAAAAAAAATATTAAGGATTATAAGAGTACTTGAAAAAAGATATAGTAATTGTTTTTTTTTTTTTAAAAAGTAATTAAAAATAGCATAAATTAAAGGACAAAAACTCACATCGTTAGCCGAAATGTAACCATTTTGGTCTTTATCAAAAACCTTAAAAGCTTCTTTAAGTTCCTCCTCTGCATCAGTCTCCTGATTTAACAATCCAAGAAAAACAAATTAACTATATTAACATATATGCCTTCGCTCGGGCCTCAAAAAAGCAGAGAAATATTGAAGTGATGTTCGAGCCCGTGATCGCAATGCCGTATTCATGCGCGCGAACAGAGGCGGATCCAGAATTTAAATCCTATGGGTTCAACTTTTAAGGTTTTAGCATTGAACCCATTAAAGTTATGGGTTCATATCCACTATTTTTGCAATTTTAATGAATTTTTACATATAAGTTTTTATTCCGCATCGAAAATTATGGGTTCAGTTGAACCCGTTAGTTGTTCACTACATCCGCCTCTGCATGCAAGCCCTCGGACACCGAGCGAAAGCTACTAGATTGACAATAAGAGACGGAGTTAGGATTTCAAGCTTATGAGTTTGGAATTCTAATCTTTTTAAGCTACTGGTTCTAAATTAATATTTATACATAATTTATAAATATTTAAAAAATAAATACAAGATCTGAACCAAAGCTATTGAGTTCGGCCGAATCTATAGCTGGAACTGTAGCTCCGCCCCTGTTGATAACATGATAGAGTCGGAATTTTCTAATAAAAGGATTTGAAAAAAATACAAGAGTATCATATTCAGGATTCAAAATTGTGACATAGCAATTTTTGAACTCCTTTTATTACTATATCTATATTCTTTTTATGTCAATAGGATTGAAAAACTATTTTCTCATTTTTATGATGTTATTTTTCTTATATTTTCTATTGGTGATATTAATATTGTCTCCGTTCGTCCTCTTGAGCCGATGGTCTTTTGGAAATAACCTCTCTACTCTCTAGGGGTAGGGGTAAGAGCTGCGTACACACTACCCTCCCCAGACCCTATTAGTGGGATTTTATTGGGTCGTTACTGTTGTTTGCTGATTCAAAAACTTCTATATATACAACAACAACAACGACCCAGTAAAGTCCCACTAAGTGGGGTCTAGGAAGGGTAGTGTGTAAGCAGACCTTACCCCTACCCCGATAGGACAAAGAGGCTGTTTCCGATAGACCCTCGGCTCAGGAAGATGAAAATAAAACAAAAAAAGACAATTTATCAATATCGTCAACATAACCATAGATCAAAAACTTCTCTCTCTATATATATATACAAAAAAAAATATTTTTACCCTATTTATAGAGTATAATTTTCCAACTAAGGCATTCCATTGAACCCCTTCATTGAACGTAGCTCCGCCGCTGGATTGACATAATTTAGAGGGAGGGAAAATGTGAATGTAGAGTGAAAATAACAGGTTCAATTCACTGAGGTTTTTACCTTCATTTTCTTGGTGATGAGGTTCAAAAATTCAGTAAATTCAATGATTCCATTCTCATCAGCATCAACTTCACTAATCATATGATACAGTTCTTCCTCTGTTGGATTTTGATCCAATGATCTAATCACAGTCGCCAGTTCTTCAATTGTAATGCAGCCTGTACATAAAACAAATTTTAGAAACACATTGTCAAAGTATGAGGCCAGTTCGGTGCACTAATCTTCTGTTATGCGCGGGATCCGGGGAAGGATCGGACTACAAGATTCTATAGTACGCAGCCTTAACCTGCATTTCTGCAAAGAGGCTGTTTCCACGGCCCGTGACCTCCTTGTCACATGGCGGCAACTTTATCGGTTACGCCAAGGCTCCCCTTCATTGTCAAACTGTAACTTTAAAATAAAAAACATTGAAATCTAGTATGTATGCTTAGACTATATATGAATGTTTTTTCTGAGATTTTTAAGAGAAAAAGTTATTTGACAAATCATTTACCTTGTAGCTTTTGAGAAACATAATATAATTTAAAAAGTCAGCTCGATACACGAAGCATTTCGTGTTCAAGCAGAATTCTGGGAAAGACCGCACCACAAGAAAGTGTGATGTAGGCAGCATACCTCAAACACAGTATAAGTAAAATAAAATAAAATGATGAAGAAGCAATAACTCAAGAAAAAGAAGACTACTAACCATCTCCATCTTTGTCAAATACTGCTTCTTCATCACATTCAATAAGTTGATCTGCTTTTAATATATCTGCCATGATATTATTTCTTGGATTTTTGGACACAGAGCTGGAGGAACAGCTTTTGTGTGTGTGTGTGTGTGAGAGAGAGAGAAATATGAGCATAGATGCATACTGGCTGGGCTTTAAATAAAGGAAACAGTATTGTCCCCAGAGGACTTAGTAAACATTCGAGCAAAAATAACACTATATAGCCATTGTAAANTATATATATATAAATTATATAAATTTTATATATTTTTTCGGCTACAAGATGTAAATAGTTTTTGGTGTGAGCTAAAAGTGATAAAACCCCAACATTCAATTTCATTAAAATTTACGAAATATTAATAAAAGTTAGAAAAAGAAAGGAGGAGTAAATAAGGGGTTTGACCTAAGAAAGGAAATACGGTAGTATTTAATTGAGAACATAACTATGAAGCGTTGATCCTTTTTTTTTTTTAAATAATGTATTCGGTATTTACGTTATACTTCGATTAATTCAGATTCGCGTTGCGTAAGAATCATTAAAGGAAAAATCAAGATTTTCTTCATTCTCAATGCTAAAATCCGAGACCTCTGGTTACGGGCAGATGGATAGGAAGAACTGAGATAACCTTCTAGTTTTCTTTTGATGACAAGTAAAAATTATCTCATTTGATATGTTACAATTATAATAGAAGAAAATAATTCCTACAGATTTCATATATTTTATGAATATTGTAACGGGTTAAAAAATCAATCTTTCCCTTCTTTTGATATAAGAGGAGACTCAAAAGAGATCACTTGACTATTTCAAGAATTGATGCTTAAAATAAACAAACATAAATTATAGAACGAAAAACTGAAATATTAGAAGCAAAAATTGGACGAAAAATAATAGCATAAGAGGAAATAATTAGTGAACTTTATTTAGCGAATGATTATGGAAGAAGAAAAAAGAACATTTGAAAATAAAAAAATCTGAAAGGGGAGGATCAAAATATAATAGAAAAAAGGATGAGAATAATAATTTTTTTCCAAAATGTTCTTTTAATATTAAAATATTTTTTTTATTCCAAAAATTATTACTTTTGGCTTTTGAAAATGTTTTCTTGAAGGCATTTCCAAATAAAGAGCCTTTCCTAAATTAAAAAAAAATTACTTAAATAAAAAAAAAGTCAAATTGTGTTTAAGACCGGAAGTAGTAGTCGTGGTTATAACTCCGTCACGGAAGCCATCTCAACCATCCAAGTTTCCGCATTTTTCTATTTTAATTTAATTTCTTGGAGATTCTAAGTCGAAAAGAATAATTAAGAATATTCAACAAAAATCACCAAAAAATGGGATGAGACGAGTCGGATCACTCCATCCTCAAAGGTCTCGGATTCAAGCCTTGAATACGAAGAAATTGAAGAATAGTTTGTTATGAAGTTGGAAAGAGTGGGACTTGTCCCCCGTCGGTGGTGCAAGGCTACCTTTTGTACCTTTTAAGTCCTTGTCCTTTTATGTGTTTAATTTAGAACACATACTCTTAAATGTGTGCAAATATATATATACGGAAAAGAGCCTAAAATGCCCTTCAACTATCAAATTTGGTCTAAAATTGCCCCTTATTCACCTTTTGAGCTAAAAAACCCCTTCACGTTAATGTTTGGGCTCACAAATGCCCTTTTTACTAACAAGTCCAGATCAGATTTTTAATTTAAGTGACGTGGCATTAAATAATTGGCTAATTTAAAACCCACCCATACCCGACCATCACCCAAAATTAGTCCATATTTTCTAAACCCATCCTCATCAAAATACGACTGACTCCTCCTCCTCTCTATAATAGGGTTCCCCCAAAAACGACAAACATTAGCCTTATAATGATGACATTTATAAAATCTACGACCACCATTTGAAGGTGTTGTAGCAGTAAAATGGTTGGCAATCAATCCGCAATAACATATCAACGACAACCATTAGCCTCATAATGACAACATTTATAAAATCTACGACCACCATTCGAAGGTGTTGTAGCAGTAAAATGGTTGGCAATCAATCCGCAATAACATATCCGCAAGAACCCTATTATAGAGAGGAGGAGGAGTCAGTCGTATTTTTGATGAGGATGGGTTTTTGGGTTTAGAAAATATGGACTAATTTTGGGTGATGGGTCAAGTATGGGTGGGTTGGATATAATATGGATGGGTTTTAAATTAGCCAATTATTTAATGCCACGTCACTTAAATTAAAAATCTGATCTGGACTGTTAGTAAGAAGGGCATTTGTTAGCCCAAACATTAACGTGAAGGGTTTTTTTTAGCTCAAAAGGTGGATGGAGGGAAATTTTAGACCAAATTTGATAGTTGAGGAGTGTTTTAGGCCCTTTTCCGTATATTATATTATATATATATATATATATAATATTAATAAATAATTTAGATTTTATTTATTTCTACAATTAAATATGTTTTATTTGAAATTTAAATTTTAAATTTATTTGAATAAACAGATGAGTCTGTTTGTGAAAGAACACATCTTTTTTGAAAAGGTCCGATGGTTGCTCTATAAATAAAAGTTCTTCCAACAAAGTGAATATAGAAAATCACAAGTATTATTGTAGGCTTTGTTGTATTCTGAAGAGAATCGTTTGTATTTCCCTAAATTAGTATACAGGCGATAACTCTTTAAGGACAGTCGATTTTCATGCCTCAAAGCCATATTTTGTTTATTATTTTCTAACAGAAATTTCTAATAAGGAGCGTTTTTACTTTTATGAGCCTTAAGGTTGTAAGCACGTGATTTTTGCCCTATATGAGAATTACTCCCAAAAATTCAAAAATAAAATG